CCCTTCCCCTGCTGAATGTGTAAGATTTATAGTTTGTCTGCTAGTTTTGCCTTTTTTTCCTGATCCCTTGTTTGGTTCCCCTATATTCCTCCTACATGGGAAGCCATCCAAAAATTTTTCTTTTTCCTTCTGACTTATTTCATTGAGCATGGTATAGTCATTTCCACCTCCATCCATGTAAATGGCATGAGTTTATCTTTCCGATTGCTGAATAGTATTTCATTGTGTATGTATGTCATATCTTCTTGACCCAGTCATCTGGTTTTGGGCATTTAGGTTGTTTTCATATCTTAGCTATTGTAAACAGTGCTGCAATAAACACAGGAGTGCAGATTTCCTTTTGAATTAATGTTTTTTGTGTCCTTTGGATATATTCCTAGGAGTAGAACTGCTGGGTCATAGGGTAACTCTACTTTTAATAGTTCCTCAATAATTTTTTTTTAATATTATCACCCCCACTTCCTATTCCAAAGAGCCTTTTATGACATTTTCCCCCCCCACAATCACCCTCTTTGACTAAAATTTAATATATGAACATACTGTACATGTTTGTGTATGATGGCCCATTATAATAGCTAAGATTTTCCCCCCTTATTCCTCCCCTCAAGCAATATTTTTTTACTCCCTTGGGGCAATATGATGCTCTAAAAGTAGCCATTATATTGGATTTTATCATTTTCTCTTTTTCCCTTTTTTTAAAAGATTTATTTATTTATGCATACAACAACTGGGGTATAGGCCAGAGGTGTGGGGGGTGAGAGAATTCACCAGAGACAGAGTGGGGAACAGAACAGGCAGACTAACTGAAATACACTGCTGAGGGGAGTAGCTGGCGAGTCAGGAGAGGTCTTCTGAGCCATATGGGTAGCTTCCTGGCCGGGGATCAAACTCATGCTGCAGTGGCTGTGGATAGCTTCATAGGTTGCATCTTAACCCCTTGCTCTACCAGGGAAGCCCTCTTTTTTCTCTTTGAATAGTACTGTTGCATATCATGTATCTCAAAATGATACTGTTTTCATGGGTACATTTGTATAAATGGCATCTTTATGTATTCTTTTGCAGCTTGCTTTCTCTGGCTCAATATTAATTTGTGAATCTAATCTGTATTAATGCATGAGCCTACAGATCTTTAATTTTACTGCTGTAGGGAGTCCATTACTTAACTTACTGTCGGTGGATAGTAGGTTTTTTCTAGCTTTTTCAACTCATAAAGAAAGTTGCTATGACCATTCTTCCAAAAATCTATTGGTACACATGTCCAAGAATTTCTCTAAGATATATTCCTAGGCATGGAACTGTTGGATCATAAGCTAAGTGGTTTAAATTGACTAGTTTATGCCAGATGTTTAGAAATTAGATGTACCAATTTGTAATATTTATTATTTCCATTATTTTATTTCTTCCAGTAATATTTTGCAAGTTAGTAATACATGTCTTCCATACCCCCCCTTGGTTAAATTTATGTCCAAGTAATTTATCCTTCAGATGATATTGTTGGGGTTTATTTTCTTAATTTTCTTTTGGCTCATTCACTAGTGGTGTATAGAAACACACTGATTTTTGTGTTTTGACTTTATTCCTGAAACTTTTGTGGAATTTGTTTATTAGCACTAGTACTTTTTTTTAAATGAAAAGATGCAGACACACTGTTTTGTTAATGTCTTTCTCTAAATATAATCATGTCACTGCAAATACTGATAATTTTACCTCTTCCTTTTCAATTTGGATGCTATTTCTTTTTCTTGTCTAATTGTTCTGATTTGTGGGGGGGAGCTTACAGTTTTTTGCCATTGAGTCATATTAGCTAGAAGTTTTTCATAAATGTGCTTTATTACTAATTTGTGGAGTGTTTTAATTCATAAAATAGTACCAAATTTTGTCGATTTTTTTTGTTGTCTTTTGAGATGATCATGTGACTTTCTTCCTTCATCATATTAAGTCTGATTTTTTAGTTAGTCTTTAAGGTATTGAGAATAACAATTTAATTTCCAAGGAATTACAGAGTAACATTGTTATTTTCTGAACTGTTAAAAAGAACTATGTTATTCATAGGTTGGAGTTAACCTCATGCAGACAGAAAGCAAGCACACATTAATGAACTACAAGGCCAGCAGAACAACCTTTGGAGTTACTATTGAAGAGAAAAATGTCTATGATCACATCTGCTTCAGTTACATATACAAGCATTTCATAAAATATTAAGGAGAAAAGCAAGCTTTATAAATAATTAAAATGAAATAAAAGCTCTTATTTCCCTTTAGGGAATGAAAGAACGAGAGAACACCATAACATTTACTGTATGTCAATATGAATTACCCCTCAAATATCTTTGAGAATACATACAGTTACAATTTAGAGATGTGCGTGCGTGTGTGTGTGTGTGGGGGGGGGGGAGGAGATGATTTACTTCCACCCCCACCCAAGAAAAAGTAATCATGGTGATCTGCAAGTGAATGTTTGAAACTTAGAGTTTCAAACTTCTTTTTGGGTTACCAGATCACTGGGCTGATTTTAGCAGTTTAACTAGAGTAGCATAATAATGTCTTTGTAACAAAAAAGCATATGGTATAACACTTTGAGGTGTCAACTCTTCTGTTACTTGGAACAAAAGGTTACATCAAGCTACATCATTCTTATTAAATTTTTATCACTAATACTTTCAATCTAAACATAAAAGCATCTCACTTATTCCTTATCCCTGAGGAGCAAGGTTCTCATGAGTGAAAACAAAAGAAAATGAAGACTTACTTCTTTTTGTGTTCAAATCAACTAACATAGTTATAATTTATTTTGTATGAAAATAATATTAATGTAAGCAAAACTTCCTGAGTTCACTTTGCTCTCTATAAAATGAGCAGAATAATTAATACTAATCTCAGGAAAGGCTAAACTTCCTAGAAAATTGTTAAGTGCTGTGTAAAATGTTTTCCTTTTTTTTTTTAAATAATGTATATTTATCTGTTTTATAAACTAAAGGTAGTGTATCCTATCTAACTTATTCTTGGAAAAAGAGATTTCAAAGAATTTTGTCAGAGACAACCTCTTGTATAAAATTAGAATAAATGTAATAAAAACATAATTTCTAATAAAATTAAACTTGAAAAATGTTATTCTATTGTGTATTCCAATGTACAGAAACTGAAAAATTCACTTCTAAATAATTCACGGCTAACGGAAGGGGGATGAAACAATCAAAAGCACTATATACATCACAGAATGCAGTTAAAGCAAAAAGAGAATTTATTTTAGCCTTAAGTGGATTTACTTGAAAACAGGAAAGACTGAAAATATTGGACCTAGTAGAAAAAGAAGAACAAGAACACAAATTATAATAAAGTAGAATGAAACAGTGAATATAAAGGCAGACTAAGGTAACAGAAAACAACACTGAGAAGTATAAAAACTAATTCTTGGAAAAAATCAATAAAGTAGACTGTTAAGTCTGACGAAAATACTGAGAAAACACAAACAATATTAGAAATCAGGGGCCAGCCTGGTGGCGCAAGGGGTAAGACACAACCTATTAAGCTAATCGCAGCCACTTCAGCACCAGTTGGATCCCCAGCCAGGAAGCTACCCACATGGCGAAGCAGACCTCTCCTGACTCGCCCGCTGCTCCCCTCAGCAGTGTATTTCAGTTGATCTGTCTGTTCTGTTCCCAACTCTGTCTCTGATGAATCCTCTCACACCCCCAGACTTCTGGCCTGCAACCCCATTCTTGTATGCATAAATAAATAAATCTTTAAAAAAAAAAATCAGTAAGGAGAAAACAATAGAGGTAAGCAAACTTATATATGCAAACTTATGCCTTCAAATTTGATAAATGAAATGGATACAAAAAAAAACCCCAGAAAACACAAATGACCAATAAATAATTTGATCACTAGTCAAAAATCACCATTCCATAAAGGAACAAAGATGTTTTTATAGCTACCCCCACCAACACTGTTTTATAAAAAATTTCAAATGTACACAATTAGACTAAAATGAATAGCACAGAAACACCCATATGCGCAACACCTATATTCTGCAATTAAATTTTCACTAAAATCGTTTTCACATATATCCACCCATTCTTTTTTCTATACATTAAATCCTTTTTTATCTTTTACTGAATCGTGAGGGGTAAAAATATAAGAGAACAGAAACATGACAGGATTTCAAAGCACCAGACCAGTGATCTTTTCATATTCATATCAACTTAACATTTTAAATGTTTTTCTAAAAATGGAATTGCAGCTGAAAACAAGACACAAGAAAACATTAGGTGTTCAAGAAGAGTCTGTCCCTTTTCTTTGCTGTCTTTTGAATACTGTCTTGTGTAATACCTGATTCCTTTCTAGTTTCTGAATGCACTGGCCAGTTCCCACTCTTCCTGCCAAAAGATAATTGAACTGGCTCTTTTAAAATAGCAGTTATAAAATGAATATATTTCTATAAATGTATGCAGTTAATCAGGAAACATTTACTATACACTTAATTTATCAGAAAATAACATTTACTAATTACAGGAGGAACAATTTCTCTTCCAATGAGTGTTTCTCTACTGCCAAAAATCTTTAATCTGTTAGATCCTGAAGAAAAGCAATTTCATTTATTTTCTCTGTAAACAGTGTGACATGTCAGCAGCAAAGCTGATGGATCTCAAGACTTTTGAATGAAATGACTACCATCAAAGAATGACAGCATATAAAAGGGAAGGCTAATTTTTCAAAAACAGCATTTATTTCTTTATTGATTAATTCTCCCTTTGTGTGTCTATTATTTTTTGCACTGACACATGAACTGATGCACTGAGCTAGCCTGTATCATTACTATCCTTTTTACCCATCAAGTCAACTTATGGATGGGAACAGAACACCCTCTAACTTTGTTAGAAGGAATACTATTTCTAGGAAATTTCTCTTTTAATGTTACTGGCACTTTTCTTTTGTTTATATGCAAAACCACTGCAGGTTTTTAAATGGATTACATCAAATATTGCACCAATGGTAACTTACCTTGCTGGAGGTTTCTAATAAAAACTGGAATGTGTTCTGCACAGCTTGGCATGTTTCTAGTTCAGTCCGGCTGAAGGCTATTAAATACTCCTTGAGGTGATCATACACATTTCCATCAAGAGCCTGTAAAAGTGTCAACACAAGCAAATTATGATACAATTCTGACACATAATGTCTTCTGTCTACAAGGTAAATTCAGCCTAAAAACTATTAATTATAAATAGACAAAAGATATAGATTGTTTATATAATGGTAAATACAAACAGTAATCAATCACTTGGGAAAATATTTACTTTCTCTAACAAACAGGAACCAAAAAAACCCATAAAATCCAGTATTAGTAAAGCTATGGGAACAGAATTAAACTTGGAGATAATAGTTGGTTCTGATCGCTGTTAGCAGTGCCAACTTCTGCAGTCACTTTATAACAGAGGAGGTGTAGAAATTAGGAAATAACAGATAAGAAAGGATCCAGGCACAGCGCCTTGAGCAGAGTAGACACTCGGAAAACACTAATTGTCCTCCATTTTTTTCTCATCCAGTATTGCTACTAGGATCATACATTACAGAATACTATAGAGCAATCAGGGAAAAAAACACAATAGAAAGAGTTAAAAAAAAAAAAAAAAAAAAACACCACAAAGCCTGAATCAGAAATCTTGTTTCAGGGAAGAAACACCAATATGATACCTATAAGGAGTTTTAGACATTCTTATTTTACATAAACATTTAAGAGCAGGACTCTGAGAAACTGAAAATAAAGAAAAAAAAAAAAAAAAAAACATGAGAACTACCAAACATTTGGGAAGATACTGTTAATGATGTATGATTAAAACATTTACAACTAAAATATATACAGTCACCAAAATAAAAACTGGAAAATGTATAGATGGAAAAGTATGCATCAAATTATTTTGGATTTAAAAAGCAGAACAAATAGATACTTATTAGCAACAATGGTGGGAAAAATGTTAATGATAATCATAAAAGGTTATGGAATCCTATTAATGAATGGAGATTTTCTTAAAAATTGAGGTCAAATTCACACAACGTAAAAGTCACCTTTTAAACTAGTGTATAATTCAGTGTCTTAGTATATTTACAATGTTTTGCAACTATCACTATTATTTAATTCTAGAATACTTGCATCACCCCAAGAAGAAACCCCATTTCCACAAAGTGGTCACTTCCACCCCCCAGTCTCTGGCAACCACTAATTTATTGTCTATTTCTGCAGATTTGTCCATCCTGGACAGTCATATAAGTGGAATCATATGTGATCTTCTGTGCCTGCTTCTTTGACTTAGCATAGTATTTTCAAGGTCCATCAATAGATTAGTTAGTACTTAATTGCTTATGGTTAAATAACACTATATAAATATACCACATTTATCCATTCATTAGTTAATGGACATTTGGGTTGTTTCCACTTTTGGACTATTTGGCTAACATTGCTATTAATATTTATGCACAAGTTTTTGTTTGAACAACTTGTTTCCAGTTCTCTTGGGTATATACCTGATAGTAGAATTGCTGGGTCCTATGGTAATTCTATGCCTAATTCTTTGAGGAATTTCCAAACTGTTTTCCACAGCTGCTGCACCATTAAATTCCCATCAGCAACACTTATTTTCTCAGCATCACTTTTTACATCCTAAGCAACACTTATTTTGTTTTGGTTTTTTAAAATTATTCAAATCAGTGGTATTTCACTGAGGTTTTGATTTACATTTCTTTAATGACTCATAATATTGAGTGACTTTTCATGTGTTTCTTGACCTTCTGTATATCTTCTTTGGAAAAATGTCTGTTCAAATCCTTGACTCATTTTTCAATTGGGGTGTTTGTCTTTTTATTGTTGAGTTCAAAGAGTTCTTTATATATTTACTTATTTATATATTTGAAAATCATAAACCTTATCATAAGTTATATGATTTTCCAATATATTCTCCCAGTTAGTGGATTGTCTGTTCATTTTGTTGATCGTATTCTTCGATATACGAAGTTTTAAATTTTGATGGAGTCTAATTTAGCTGTTTTTTTCCTTTGTTGCTTCTGCTTTGGGCTCCAATGGAGGGTTAACAGTAAAGAAATTCTTCATATGTCCTATGTTTTGGTAATTCCATTAAACTTTTACGATGAAACTGACTTTTAAAAGTATACACAAATCCTGTCCCCCACAAAGCACTGAGAAATAAAGCTGCGTAGTTCACAGAGCTTGAACCACTAGATGGCACCACCGAGCACTTTAAATATAGGCAGTGCAAATTCCTTAAGATTCCTTTTCCATGCCATTATATAACATTCCCAGATGGACTGCTGGTGTTAAGTCTGAACAAAAACTCCTAGCCTACAGTATACTTTCCACTGATAGAGGGTAGGCAGGTAGGCAGAGCATCAGCTGTTTTTAACTGAGAATCACATGCTACCTCAGAATTACAAAGGGAGCATCTCATGCATCACAGGAAAGAGCTTGAATTTGAAAGTAAGTTGGATGTTGGTTAGAATCCCAGAGCTTTTATATAGGTCATCATTTTGATGGCGTTCTCACTTGCAATTAGCAAGAATGTGAATACCATACAGTCCATGAGGCATGATGAAGATTAAATAAGGTAATATAAGTGGTAGAATACTAGCCTAAACATTTTCAATGGATTGGACACATATTGATAATTGTTAAAGCTAGGGAATTAGTATATGAGGGTCATTATACAGCTCATTTTACTTTAGCATATGCTGGAAATTTCTCATTAAAAAAACTAGAAAGAAATCCTGAATATTGAATTAGGGGGGAAAAAGTGAAACCATAAAAGTTTTTTTTTTTTTTTAACTCAGTGGTTCCCACAGTAAAATTTTGAAAAGTTAAAAATTATTAAGCTATTATCTAAAGCCCTTTACAACGTAGCACCACTTCTCATCACTGTTGTCCGCACTGATATCTATATCCCAACTACACTTAGCCATTTTGATTTTGAAAAATGACATTCACTTTCATGTTTCTGATGGTTATTCTCTTGGCCTGGGATGTTCATCCCTCTAGTCTCTCCCATTCAGTGAGTAATAATGATGGCTAACACAGACAACTAACATGTACTAATGATTTACTGTATTCCAAATGTTTTACAAAACTGACTCAATAGTTGCTCCTTATTCCACAATCTTAAGTGTGTTGTATGAGTATTACTGCCAGTCATAAATTGAGTCTTATTCAGGCAAAGTTCCTGGCAAATAGCAAATGCTCAAAAATATTTATAGAATAAATAAACAAAAGCTTTACTCCAGAGTTTAATATAGCAACAAATATGCACTGACTTAGTTTTAGCTCGCAGGCAAGCTACACCCAATATATTCCAGTTAAGAGAAAGTGCATCATTAGTCATCATGTAGCAAATTAGAAAAAGCTTCTCTTGGCTTTAGCAGCCAAGTAATGCTTAACGAAATTTTATTAGGTGGTAGGTGGGCCGAATGATGAGAAGCCTCTTCCAACCGGCAGGTATTAGTCCTAAAACATTTCTTTCACCTTATTCAACACTCAGAATTCCCTGAATTTTAATGATCACTTTCATCGAATAGCAGCATTCATTAACCTGTACATGTACCAATTTTTCTGTGATAAGGTAAGAATATAATAGTAGGAGCCTTCCAGCCTACGTAGCTTATTGCTTGTGTGCAGAGAGTTAATGCGGGAGGTATGAAAATTAAGAAATGGTTGGGATTCAAAACACAGGAAGTGGATGATTACCCTGTGATTTGCTCCAGCCCTCTGTCTCACATTAGCTGCAGTTGTTTGAACCAGTGATGGCGCCTAGAGATGAACTTCAAAGTCATCTGGATTGTACTGTCTCAACACAGATTGTGATTAGAAGGCAGACTACATAAATATTTATATGAACTTTGATTAAAAAGCCAATAATTAAAAAATAAGTCCCCACAAACAGAATGAAATACTGAGAAGCAACAAGAGAATTTGAAAATGCTTGACAAATTCTCCATCACTGTATTTATCAGAGTACTTATCACTGTCTATTAACATCTGGATTATTACAGCAAACCTCTCTTGCTCTGCATCCAGTTGTCCCTATTGCCAACACATTTCTACACTACAGCCAAGATGATGTTTCTAAATGACACAGTGAAACCATTTATATATACATATGTACACACACACGCGCGCGCGCCTGATTTCCTTAACAGTTCCTTGAGAGCAAGCAACACTTGCTTCTTCCCTTTATTCCTAACCTTTATCCCAAACCTTAGCAGAGAAAGTCTGCATAAATGATTATGAAATGAACTCAATAGAGAAGGGTAGAAGCTACATAAGTAGGCCTCACTGTACAAAAGGGAAGACAGTGAAGAAACACTGGGAGAGCGAATTAGAAATGAAGCATTTACTTTATTTGAATTGGGTCAGTTTTGCTCGGGTGGAAAAAAAAAGTAATTATTCAGAGCTGATTGAGATTTTGACCACTTATTATTTCTCTCCTGACTTCATGACTTTTTATCAAACTACCTCTTAGACTGAACCATTCTTTTCAACAGCTCTTCTTTTTGTATTTTTAACTTAGTGTGTAATGACACTACCACCCACTCACCTGCCTATGCCAGACATTTGGAAGTAAAGGTTTACTTTTCCCTGGCCTCCCTGGTGGTGCAAGGGGTTAAGACACAACCTATGAAGCTATCCACAGCCACTGCAGCAGAAGTTTGATCCCCAACCAGGGAGCTACCCACATGGCTACCCTCTCCTGACTCACCCGCTGCTCCCCTCAGCAGTGTATTTCAGTCAGTCTGCCTGTTCTGCTCCCCACTCTGTCTCTTGTGAATCCTCTCACCCCCCCACACCTCTGGCCTATACCCCAGATCTTGTATGCATAAATAAATAAATCTTAAAAAAAAAAGGTTTACTTTTCCCATTGTCTTTTCTCCAATATCCAGTTAACTACTAAATCTTGATTCTGTTTCTTAAGTATTTAATTAAACCCAACCCCTCCTCCTAATTTCCACAATTACTACCCCCCCAGTCATCAGGAATCATCTAGATTGTTGCAGCAATCTCTGCTAGTCCTGCATCTAGCTGTTACTCTTGCCAAGTCATTTTTATATTATAACTAGGAGAATGTTTT